GATGAACCTAGTCTATAAAGTGCACCACAGCCATGTACACGCTGCAGCCTGGCAATGAAACTCATACAATAAATCCCCCCACTTGCCTTTATAGTATTGATCTCTCAAGAGCTGGGGGTGGGATAGCGACCAAAGTAGTCTGGGATTTAGCCAGGATTGCCTTTATTTTTTAAACAGCTATTCCATTTGTTAAACAGTCATTTAGATATGTTCATCTGCCTTTTACTGAGCAATTGCACTAAAGCTGAGAAAAGCTCTTTCCTTGCTGAGGTTTTTATTTCTTCTGCATACATCTAGTTAGCAAAGGCAGTGTGCAAGCTCTAAAGCTCAAATCAAAGGCAGAGTGCTGCATTGCTCCTGATCCCCGAACCGTATGTTAATAAGGTTCCACATGCATAAGGACTTTGATTCACTCTTGCATTTCTCTTGCAGGTATTCCTTGCCCGATCATAATTGCGTGGGCCATTGGCAAGCTGTATTATGAAAATGAACAGTAAGTGATGTTAGCAAACATATTTCGGGGGTTCTACTCATATAAATTACCAGACTGCACATTCAGTGCCCTCAAGCTCAAAGAAAAATAGCTAAGAGTTATGTAGGCTATGGAGATCAAAGCTAAGTGGTGCGGTTAGGTCACCCTAGTGAAACCGTACAGCATTCAAAAATACAGAACCCAGGGCCACATCCAGATGAGCGTGCACGTGCAGTGTGCGGCAGTGCAGAACTGTCTGTGGCGCTGCAAACTGCACGCACCACATATGCAGGCATTTGCCATGCTGCTGATTTGCAGCACTGAAACTGGAGCTTGGCCAGACAAGCTCCAGCTGCCAGCCAGGCTCTGCACACTGGATCACTGCTGCTGGAGCCCCAGAGGCCTCCAGGACCCCAATTAAGGATGCTGGGGTCAGCCCAGGTGCTGGCTCCAGTCTCCCCTACCTCACTCTTGGGCAACTTGCCATGCGCCAGGGGACACAGGCAGGGGAGGTCCCTGGGGACAAGTAGCAATGGCACAGCTATGTGCTGCTTCTACTTGTCTCTGGGGAAACACATGTGTGAGCACATCTGGATGCACCCCAGAATTTCAAAGGCTTACCTAAAACTCCTGGGCCAAATCCTCACATCTGTGGTCAGTAGATTTTTTTTTTTACTCTGTTTATATTTCTGCAGGACTTTATTTCTGCAGATTTATTATCAATTTATAAATTTTCCATCTGTAGAGTCTAATTACTGGGTGGGGGGGTCATCTTACAGTCAGGGTCATCCTGTATTCTGATAAATACAATATATCTGTATGGTTGCAAAGGTAACATCAGAATAACAGTACCCACAATGAATTCAATGTCTTGGTCTCCACTAGAGAGTACAGAAATAAACTTATCCTTCCCTCTCCCCTTGGCGATGCCTGCAGAGCTGATGTTATCAACTGAACGCTGCACTCACAGCTATGAGGAATGCTAGTAGGGTAGATGGGTAGTGTGAGGCCTTTCCAGCATGAAATCATGTGAAGTGATGCCACTGATCCTGCAAGTACTTGCATGGTGCACATTAAGGTAGATAAGGGTAGTGTACTCCAATACAAATGCAAGTGGGCCTAAAAATACGTGCAGAAAATACAAAGCATTAGGTATGGTTCTTCAGGCTGGCTGATAGTCATTCGATGCCCTAGCTGGCTACTCTTCCCTTTCAGGAATAGAATACAAAAAAGAATGGGCAATGTGTATGAAGGTTGGTGTGTCTGCAGAGACAAGGGCTTACATAGGATCCCTATTTTTTTAATCAATGCGAATGCGAAAGGCTTGTTCCTGCTTCTACACAGAGACAGCTTGGGGCTAGGTGCGACTTGCTCCCAGTGTCTCTGTTCTTCTTCGATTTTGGGTTATGAAGAACCCAGAACAATACACGTGCATTTAACTTAGCATGATAAATTGCCACACGCACGCACGCACGTGTATACACTGGTTAATTCTTTATTGCTCGGTATCACAGAATCATAGAATCACAGAAAATGAGGGTTGAAGGGACCTCAGGAGGTCACATCTAGTCCAACCCCCTGCTCAAAACAGGACCATCTCCAACTACATCATCCCAGCAAGGGCTTTTTTGAGCTGAGTCTTAAAATCCTCCAGGGATGGAGAGTCCACAACTTCTCTGGGTAACCCATTCCAGTGTCTTACTACCCTCCTAGTGAGAAAGTTTTTTCCTAATATCTAACCTAAACTTCCTTTCCTACAACTTGAGACCGTTGTTCCTTGTTCTGTCATCTGCCCCCACTCAGAACAGTTCAGCTCCATCCTCTTTGCAACCCCCCTTCAGGTAGTTGAAGGCTGCTATTAAATCCCCTCTCAGTCTTCTCTTCTGCAGGCTAAATAAGCCCAGTTCCCTCAGCCTTTCCTCAGAAGTCATGTCCTCCAGCCCCTGAACCATTTTCATTGCCCTCGGCTGGACTGTCTCCAACTTGTCCACATCCTGTCCATAGTGGGGGGCTCAAAACTGAACACAGGACTCCAGATGTGGCCTCACCAGTGCTGAATAGAGGGAAATAATCACTTCCCTTGCCCTGCTGGCAATGCTCCTACCAGTGCAGCCCAGGATGCCATTAGCTTTCTTGGCAACAAGGACACACTGCTGGCTCATATTCAGCTTCTTGCCCACTGTCACCCCCAGGTCCTTTTCTGCAGAGCTGCTGCTTAGCCAGTGTCTTCATTTACATCCGGGCAATGTAGGGGGAAGGAGAGTGCAAGGCCAGGCTAGAAGGTTTCCACACACAATTTTTATAAGTCTAGGTGATGAGAAAAGGTGCCAGGCAGTTGAGAACTGGGCCTAACTTTTCATTTACTACATCAGTTAACTGAAGGCCATTTTTTTCACCACCACAGATTTTGTGTGCTAGCACAAACCTATGGCATTATCCTTTTATTGAGTTTTTACCCAAAGAGTGATGAACCTTCTTGAAATCAGAAGCTAAAATTTTTTGTTCAAATAAATCACCCACAATGTGGATGCTTATCTAAAACTCCTAGAGTGAAATCATTTGGGGGTTTTCTTCAGTTGGATTTGTGGGAATGAGTTTTGATTCATTGTGATTTTAACCAAATCAATTCTTCTACCTCTATTCTAACTTTATAGGAGTAGCTGAAGTGCTGCCTTAGATTCTGCAAGATCAGAAAAAATCGTCAGCCCCTGACCCTGTATGGTATCAAAACTCTGCATTTCCTTTGTCTTAAATATAAGGCAGAGTTCTTAAATGAAATGGGTTCTGCGAGTGCATATCCCTGCTCTATGCAGGCAAGGACTTAGCACACCTTAATGAACTAAAACAAAAGCTAGAGAAGAATTGTTTGCTAGTGCTCTTCTGATTACCATAAATATTCATGTATTTTCTTGGGCATGTAATCATGCAGTACATCTAACTAGCCTTGCTCACTTCTTCCCAGTTTGTCTGATAAATTCTAAATGGAAAAACTAGAGGACAGATCCAAACATATTTTTTTTCAATCAAAAGGCTGCTTCCCCCTAACTCCTTCTGGATGAGTCACCTTGGGAGCATGGACTCGGTTCTGTTCATGACACAGCATTCTTCCCAGGTGCTCAAATGATATAGAAGTTGCACCTTAAATTTGCACTATGTAAATATGTTCCAATATAAGGAGTAGAGTTTAATTCCTGATTCCACTAATCCAAGTTCAAGCACTTCCAAGACCAGCTGACTCTTGTGATCATATAGCATAGGGGCGTCAAACTCACCTGGTCCCGTGGGCCAGATGAGTGGCATGGGATTGGTTCACAGGCTGAATGAATGGTGTAGGGCTGGCCCTGAGGGCTGGATCCAACATCAGCAGTGCTCACTTTGGCCAGTCTGGGGCTGAGGTGCCCACCCCAGATGATCTGGACCAGACACCAGATCCAGCACATCCTCTAGCTGGTCTGGAGCAGGTGCAGTAGGCAGCTCGCCTTCCAGAGTGGACACCGTAAGCACTGGATCCCACATGTTGGGGGAGGAGGAGGTCCTGGACTGGCCTTGTGTGAAGGTGTGGTAGTGCATCTTTGGGTGCCTGCCTCTTTAAGGGCATGAGCAGGCAGCAGAGCAACCTGCAGGTGACAGCAGAGCCAATCAGGGGTTCACATGGCAACCAGGAGGCCACCTGATTGGAGGATGGCTTGGCTGCCTGAGTATAAGACCAGGCCTAGGGAGTGGGGCCAGCAGTTGCAACTGGGGAGTGGAAGGGTGAACATCTCCTGGCCAGAGGACTGCTGCTCACAGGACACGCAGAGGTCAGGGCAGGAACTGTGGGGGTGGAGGAGGTTCCTGGTCCTGGGACATGACCTGAAACTGCACCCTGCTGAGGTTGGATGGTGTGGTGGGGCTGCCTGTGGCAGGGCAGTCTCCAGGAAATGCCCCACCAGTGCCTCCCTAGTGAAAGGCAAGTATGGGGCACTGGAAAACCTCAGCCCCGACTGCCTTGTGGGTGACTCTGCAGAGGGGAAAAGCTAGGGAAGCACACCTTGACAGAAAAGCACAGGCCCCAGGCCCATTGAATGGGGCCTGAAGCAAAGTTCAGGCACATCATCAGACTCCTCAGGCCTGAGTGGGCCATAGGCTGAGTTAGGGGTCCAAACACATTGACAGACACTTGAAGTCCAAGGGGCATAAGGCCCAGAAGCCCCAGTGAGGGGGAGGAGTAGTGACCCCAGTGAGGGGCAGGGTGGCTGCCGGAGGCCGCGTAGAGTAGGGTCCGAGGGGGCCTGAAGGACTAGGTGTAGGCTGTGTGAGGGGCAGAGTTGAGACCCCAGTGGAGGGGCATGTGGCCCAGTCAAGTCTAAGGACCCCTGAATCCAAGTTTGGGCCAGAGGCCAAGTGTGGCCCATCAATGGGGCCAGAGAAGCTGGAAGTAATTTTTGGATGCCATCCGCGAGGCATGGGCCATGGTAAAGGGAAGGTTGGAGCTGTGTATTACACCCTTGGCATCAGGGCCAGATGATGGGGCTCCATGAGCCAAATCTGGCCCCAAGGCCATATCTTTGACACTCCTCTGTCCTGAACCCTAGAGAAAAGCCATGAGACTTTTCCCATGTGCTGTAGAGTGTGTAATGAATGGTGTCCACCAAAAGTATTTGGATAACCAGGTAGGAATGGGGAACTGTTCCTATGGATGGTTTGTCATTGGCGGTGAAATGCAATCCAAGCAAGACAAATGGAAGGGGCTGTACCTGCAGGAGGGAACCCAAATGCACACATACAGAATCAGGGTAGAAACTAGATAGGCAGCAGCATGGCCAGGAGGAATCTGGGTTGATGGTGGACCATAAACTCAATAAAGGATTGGTTTAAAAAAAAAAGAAAATGCAGTAGGAGATTGTATTAAGAGTTTTTTGTATACAAGACATAGGAAGTGATAGCATCACTCCCTTCAGCTGTGGATCTCTGTACTGCCGTGCAGAAGGAAACTGGAGAGGGTCCAGAGGAAAATGACAAGGATGATGAGGGTTTTGATG